AAAATTCTAGAAAGAAGGTTGCAGGACTTTCTTTGCAACCTAATTTAGAGGAGAAATACCATTTTTTGTCACCCTCCCCTAGCTGTTGTGTGCTTTTACCGTAATATGAATAAACTCTAGTACTGTAGAATAGGAGGCACTAACTTTGAGCCTAGTTTTTCCTGCGATAACTTTTAAGTTGGTTTATTCTAGCAAAATCACGAAGTTCAGATTCCAGGGAATGCAAGAGAACGTGCTAATTGTGATATATTTACTTCTGATTCACGTCCAAGCGCTTCCTTTTCGAATCGACAACGTTCGGTTCTCCACCGGGCAGAAACCCCGACCAGATGGTCCACGACGTGAAAGGTACGTTCCCATAAACAGCGCAGGACACAATATTCAGACCAGTTTGAGAGGTTAAAGGCAGGGTGAACGGCAAATCAGTTGTTTCACGTCTCGCAAACGTAGAATTAGATTTCTTCGTTGATTTCCGCCTTGGAGTCTCGCCGGTGCTGAAGTTATCAATACAAGATGTTCCACCTTGCTTGGGTCTGCTTCTCTACCAAAGCGGCTAGACTCCGGGGGCGATGAACTAGCTGTCATCGGGGGCGGAAGAGACACTATAACACTCCAAGGGATGGGAAAGGCCTTGTTCGACTGCGCCCCTTCCCCGCGGAAGTGTCATACGTTGGTCTCTTGGTAGCTATGGCTCCCTTGAAGGAAGATTTCACGATAAGGTCGAAGGTTGAAGAAGGGGGAAATGTACCCAGTCAAAAGGGACGCTCATCAATAGGTAAGCCCTCGGACTTCAGTCGCCGACCGTACGGCTAAACAGGGACGCACAGCAGAGCACTCGCACATGGTGTCAGCACTGATGAGCCTCGCTCCAGTGCGGAAATCAAGAGGGAAATACGGACCCCATTCTTCGGATTAGGGCGTTTTCTTGATTTTTCCTTACCGTTGAGAAGTGTGGTCTTCCCCGTGAAAACTGCCTTTGAATCATCAACTATGGTGGGCTATCTCATGATCCCATAGCTCAGGCAAAAGGCCATATCACAACACTTCTTATTATGAGTGGAAAATAGGAATAGGAGGGGCGTTTCGAAAAACATCAACCATTTTGAGAGTTTCATCTTTTACCACTTCCAGAGTTACCCACAATGTGACGACGTTGCTCGACCATATTCTAGCAGGTTATGATCGCCATCTCAGACCAGAATTCAACGGTATTTCCAATGCTAATGTTTACTATGACTGCTCAATTCCAAATGTTGTTACAGTAAGGCGAACTACCGTTTTCATCGACATGCTCGTCCGTACTATGGGACCAATCGCTGACCTAACTAATGTGAGTTACTGAAAAGAAAAATTGTTGGAAAGTATTCCGTAGTGCCGATAATCTCCGAAAAACCATGCTACAGAGATTGTCTAGATTAAATATGCGGAGGTCATTGCCCACCTCAGAAGTACAATATCTGACTTTTTTCATCTTTTTCTCCTCTTCACCTTCACTCGTTGCAAATTTGGAGTTTCTTCTGTTTCTCCTTGAATTGAAGTGAGCGGGAAGGAACGGAAGCAGTAGCAATATTTAACTTTGGAACAACATAACATGATTTGGGGTTCCCCTAAAGCCACCATTGTTCTTTAGCAGGATAGCAATAATGTCATTTATGAATTTCTTCGATGAGTTAGGTTAGAGAAAGAGATTGATTTTGAATATAATACCTTCGCCCTTTTCTCCTATGATTTCGGATTACATTTGCGAAATGCAGTTCTTCGAGGGCACAATGACACAGACTCCTGGACGTCCCTGCTACGCTGCGCATCACGAGGTGTGTGTGTGTGTGCGGTATCTCGTCCATAAGTCCGCAGTATAAGCCAACAGATAGCTATGTAAGGCCCTAGCTCAATTGTTGCACAAACTCGAGCCGTAGCGACGGCCGTGTGTGTGTGTTGTCGCGCAAACTCGAGCCGCGGCGACGGCCTATTTGTGATATTCGTGAGCCAATCTATTCCACCCACAGAATAGATTATCTCACACTACCTCATCTGAGGTGGCTGCTCTAAAAAACCTGGCATACACAGTTACGAGTATGTAAAGGTAAAGCTGCTGAAAACCGCTTGAAACCGTGTTTAAGGGAGGAAACACTAAATAAACATTAAACTCTCTTACACTAAGACACTCACTACGACTGCTTGAAGCAGACTTGAAACGAGATCCGTCCCTGTATGTCTTCGTATGGACCGTTCTATTAGGGATAATTTTGCGTGTATCAAATTTTGCATTCAGACCTACTCGTTCAACTGTTACTTTCGACAAACATGGACCGATTCGAGGCTTGAAGTTTAATGGGACAGCTGGTCAGGAGCTATCACTCAGCATGGCCATGCTGGACAAAATATGGAAGCCAGATACGGTGAGAATAGAATTTTGAATTATGTGACACTGAACAAGTGCGGTAAAATCCGGTCGAGAGCATTCACACAGATTGCGTCGAATTGGTCAGTTGCCTTCTGCCAAGCTCCCACTGAGAGGCCATATTTACGGGTTTTCAGGGAATTTTTTTAGATGGGCGTATCTAGAGAATCAGAAGACAATAGTCAGAAGACCTTGTAGTTTTGGAAGAATTTTTTTTCAAACGTGATAAAAAGAAATTGTGGATTATCTGCCAAAATTGAAAACTAGTAAAACTGCGGACACCATGATGAACGCTTTCTACAAAATTGGAACTAATGCAACTATTTTGGATTTGAGTAAGAAAAAATGGTTTAATTTCAGTATTTCTGGAATGGCGCACGCTCCTACACACACAGTATAACGACCAGCAACTGCCTTGTTAGATTGCATCCGGATGGTACAGTTCTGTACAGCAGCAGGCTCACTATCAAAGGTGAGATTAAAGTTCCTACAGTTTACTCTGCGTTTACACGTTTATGTTAGCAGAATTCGTTTTTTATTCAAAAGCCATATTATATAAAAGGTGGTTGATCCTTTCAGTCTACAGTGTGTTCCAAACGATAA